TCTCCTGAAGGGTTAGTCTGAAGATGACATATTCTCTTAGAGATTAGATGTCTGGGAATGGTTTTAATTCTCCATAACTAGTGAGGCTTAGCTTGATAAGGTAGGAAATTTTGGCTGACATTGCTTATCTTTAAAAACATTAAAGACTGAACTCCAGTCCCTTCTGGCTTGCAGTGTTTTTGTAGATAAGTCTAGAGTGATTCTGATAGATCTTCCTCGGTAGGTAGTCTGACCTTTCTCTCTCAATGCCTTTAGGAATTTTTCTTTCATGCTTACTTTCTGGAGGCAGATTGCTATGTGTCTAGTGGTTGGTCTTTTCTTATGATACCTTGCAGATGTTCACTTAATCTCTTGTGTCTGAATGCTCATATCTCTGGTGAGTTGAGGAAAGTTTTCTTGGAAGATCTTATGGAATGCTTGTCCCAAGGTGTTCCTCATTTTTCTTTTTGCTTCAGAGAAACCAATCAGGTGTAGATTTGACTTCTTGACATAGTCCCACATTTCTTGAAGGCTTTGCTCCTTCCTTTTAAGTTTTTTTCCTATGATTTTAACAGATTCGGTTAATTCTATATTTTGGTCTTCAAGTTCTGAGATTCTTTCCTCTGCTTGGTTGATTCTGCTTCTTATGCTTGTTAGTTTTTTTGTTTATGAGTTCTTTATTTTCATTATTTTAGAATAGGCTTTTTAAAAATAGACTTTTAATTCCTGTATGATTTCATTGAGTATTGCTTCTTGTGTCTCTTGATTCCTGTTCGTTTTTGCCATCCAATCTCATAAGAGGTGTCATTCTGTGTGGTTTTCATTGTTTGTGCTCTGATGAACTTTTTTGTCAGGTACTGTCTCTTTAAAACTCTGAGGGTTGCTTGTGTTTTTCCATTTTTTTCCCTCTTTGTGACAGGTCTCTTTCTTTCTCTATAGTTCCATCACTCAGTAAGAGAGGGAGAAGCATTCACTTTTGCTGCTTTCTTCACCCTATGCAAGTTGCCATAATTGCAAGTTCTCTCTCCTAGTGTTAAATGAGTTGAACCAGTTTTCAGCCCCTGTTGTGTGTGACTGAGGGCTGGGAGTGGGGTGAGCTGATTTGAGGATCATTTAGCTCATTTCTTCACTGGAGTGGGACTTCATTTCCTGTACTATCCTGGTGATGGTTAGAGATAAGGCTCCTGTGCTCCTGCACCTGCCATTGTTTGCCAGTCTGTTTCTCCACTAGTTTCTGGCAGCAGTTGTGCCAGTCAGATACACTCCACAGGCATCTTTTTTTTCTGTTGGACAATTGGCTGCCACAGCAGCATCTAGTGGGCAGGTTTTGTTTCCCATTTCACTTGGGCTTCAGTTGTCCCCACTGTGCCCTGACCAAAATTCCTCTCGCATGGGACCAAAAGTTTGCACATGGCTTGGAGGAGGTGAACTGACTTCAAACATTTTAGAATCACTCCCCACTCTTCTTTACTGACCAGAGATTTTAACTTTGTCCAAATCTGGAGCTGGGCAGGGGGTAGGGTGCCAGGAATCCTGCAACTGTCATTGCTTTCTGGTCTCTGTGTGTACAAAGAGATCCTTACTAGGTGCAGGATGTATTGGTGACTGGGTCTTTACTTTCTGCCTTGCTCAGTAAAAGAGGTATCAGTCTGTTTCTCCACTAGGTGCCAAAAACAGACATGCCTGCTTCTCCATATTTGTACATGACATGAATTTCTCTGATGCTTATCTTCTGCTCACACTGCATCTCCTTCTTTGGATTGTTTAAGGCCCAGTGCAGGCAGCCCAGGCTTCTTAGAACGTTTAATGTTTATTTGTTAGTTCATGGGTTTATTATTTGTCCAACAAACATTTTGAGTCTATGTATCAAGCAATATGGATATTTGAAAGTAAATAGGCCAGGCTTGGTGGCTCAGCCTGTAATCCCAGCACTTTGGGAGGCTGAGGTGAGAGGATTGCCAGAGCCCGCAGGTTCGAGACCCACCTGGGCAACTTGACGAGACCTCATCTCTACAATAAATCGAAAAAACTAGCCAGGCGCGGTAGTGCGCGCCTGTAGTTCCAGCTACTTGGAAGGCTGAGGCAGAAGGATCGCCGGAGCCCAGAAGCTCGAGGCTGTGGTGACTGTGAGTGTGCCACTGCCCTCCAGCCTGGGTGACAGAGTGAGATTTCAACTAAAAAACAAAATAAAATAAATAAATAAAAATAAAGGTAAATAGAACATGGTTCCTGCTCTTCAAGAATTCACAATTTAATTGGAGAGGCAGACATATGGGTAAGATATTTTACATAAATAATTATTGCATTTTGAGAGTCACTATAACAATAGTACATTCAAATCATTGTGCGAGCACAGAGAAAGAAATTCTGTACTCTGAGGAAATCAAAGAAGCTGATGCTATTCTAAGACGTATAGATAGCCTACACATATTCATTAGCAAGAAATGTAGGTAGAAAAAAAGGGGAAAGGAATTAGAGGAGAAACAGCATTGAAAAGGGTACACTGGTGAGGTAAAAATATGGATATTAGGGAACTGCTAATATTTCAACCTGGTTGGGACAGATGTACTTGTGGGAATGATAGGAAACAAAACTACTAAAATTGTGTTCCAAGTAATATTTGTATATCTTTAAATGTAGTAAGTTTAGAAATTCATGTCTTGAAAGAAGGGTCAAATTAGCATTAGGAAGACCATTTAGGATACAATTTTTAATCCAGATGACAATTACAGAGTTCAGAATCAAGGCATGACTAGTATGCATTGAGATGACAGTCACCTCAGGTGTAGATATGGGATGGATCATATGGCATCTAGAATGACTCCTGGGTATATATCTTGGGTAAGTGGATAATTATGATGACATTAATGGAGATTATTAAAACAGGAAAATTACTACTTTCTGAATGGAGTTTAATTTGGGGCAACCACATGGAGATATTTAGTAAGTGGCTGAAATGTGTGCCAATTCTTCAATAAAGAGTGGCTGAGAGAAAGAAGAGCTCAATATGAGTGGTTGTTAAAGTTGTTATAGGACAAATGACTTGGGAATTTAAGCACAATTTTACAGATGGGGAGGAATGTGTATGAATGATATTATAGTTAGAAAGAACAAGAAAGTTACTGAAGTGTGAAAGAGTATAGAGCCCTTAGTAAATAATGGGTCATTATCTGTGGTTGAAACACAGAGCAAGAGTGCTTATATATGCAACTGTGGACACAGGCCCCTGGATTTGTGTTTGGTGGGACCTGACTTCAATTCAAACTGACCTTTATTGCTCAAATTTTTTTCCAACAATTATTGCCTAGAACAATAATTTTGAACTAGTAATGTTGGTCAGAAAATCTAGATAGGAAAACATCAGCAACATTAACTGAATTGTTACTTTTTTTAGACAAAAAGTAGGTATTTGTTTCTAAGTTTGAAAGATCCACAATTTTGGATTGAGTGATTGGTAGAACTTTATTCCACTAAAGTTGGTTTTAAATTAATTAATCTACCCTAATGCTACTTAACTTTCTCAAATCTTTTCTTTACAAGGGGAGGTCACATAGGTGATAATAAATTTTTTTTTTTACTTTAGCTCAGAAGTCAACTTATTGACATTTTTAATGGTTTGTATCTGTGACTGTATGCCAAATTTTTTCAGAGAATTATACTCCGACAGTGTATGAAACCCAGAAAGACATGGACTTCATTAGAGTTAGTCTCTTTCTCTCCTTTGTCTTTTTTCTTCCCTTTCTCATTTACACTCCACTGTCTCTTGTGAAACTTGGCTTCTGGCCAGAATACATATTCCCAAAGTCCCTACAGAGCCTGACTGAAGTGAAACTGACAGATTTCCAAGGAGAAGAAGCTGATAAAAGAGTCAGCAGGCTCCTAATACAATATGTAGTTTATGATATATTCTTTAATGAATTAAATAAATTATCTGGGATACTAGCAAAGGCTTTTTGGCTGTTACTCTTATTCTGGGTTACATTTCAGTGATAAAATAATAATTTCAATTCAACAAAATGTTGAGTCTCTACCATATATAAGGTACTGTGCTAGTAACCAGCAAAATTAAATGTAATTTTTTTTTTTCACATAAGTCAAGAAGTTAGTCATCATAAAGGGTACTTATTTGTGAGGTAACTTGCATTACAAAACACCAAGCTATAAGATGAAGTCTACTTAACACTTTTTGATTATGTTCATTTTACTTATGGCACAGTTTATTTTTGTGATTTGGTATCCTGTCTCCAGTCATGATCCTAATCCCACAGCTTGCACTGATTAGTTAGAATGGTTCTGCTACCTCAAGCCACAGACTTTCTAAATTTGCATGTACCAACTGCAGCTTAGGGTATATTTTACCATTGTATTTTGTATTGTTGTTACAATGCTTAATCAGATACAACCTTGCTTTTCTTTTCAACTCATGATATTCCACTGACAAATTTGATGGCTATATAATATCTATTTTCTCTTAATATTGACTTCATAGTATGAATTATTTATTTACTTAGATTACTAAAATTATTATTTAAGAAATCTCTAGTCATTGAATACCTAGAAAAATAAAAGATTATTTGAATAAGAAACGGTCTTATATACATGGATAATTTAGTTTGGTAAATTTAAATGAGGTGGGGAAATATACTTAAACTTAAATCCTTTTGTGTGTGAAAGTAAGCATGATTTTAGGAAATAAAGTGATAATATGAAGTTAATATGGCTGTTTAAATTGCCTGTCATTTTGCTCAGTGTTTTCTAAATAATCATTATACCTTTTATTACTATTTCAATTGTGTCCATCCATAAGTGGTTTAATTAAAAAATTATAAACATGGTTATTGATATTAATTTGCTTTACCTAGATGTTTTAAAGGTAAATTTGTATTGCAATTCACTTATTTCTCTGTTCTCTCTGCAATTAGTTATACATTGTATAGCATGAATACTTTTGGAAAGTGTTGGAAATGGGATAAATCTAGAATTGAATTCTGATGTTTGTTTTAACATTCCTTTCTTTTTAGATGCTGCATGGAGTTACATGGAAATGAGAGAGATTCACGAAACCCTTCCCCCAGGAGAGAATGCCTTTCATAAATGGAGCTTTCCTTCTGGTTTTCTCAGGACAGTGACATAGTGACAGAACCATGCCCCACCTTCTATTTTCAGTGATCCACAGAACATCTGAACAGTAATGCTTAGCTTGGATTTTCCGATTTTCATCCTGATCCCCTGTTTACTTCTTTGGGGCAAAAAAGCTTGCACTAATTGCTCTCCATGGTGGCTAAGTTTTTCAAGAGCTTGATTTTACCTTACATACATAAGCTTTGCAAAGGAATGTTTACAAAGAAATTGGGAAATATAAACAAAAAAAAAGAGAATCGTCAGCAGAAAAAGGATCAAGACTTTCCTACTACTGACGAGACCAAGACCCCCAAATTTTCTAATACTTTGAAAAGCACTGTAAAGAAAATTGCAAAGTGTTCATCCACTCGCAACTTATCCACTGAAGAGGACGAGGCTAATAAAGAGTTTTCCCTCTCACCAACTTTCAGTTACCGAGTAGCTATTGCCAATGGCCTACAAAAGAATATTAATGTAACCAACAGTGATAATGAGGATCTGTTTCAAGAGCTATCTTCAATTGAGAGTTCTTACTCAGAATCATTAAATGAACTGAGGAGTAGTACAGAAAACCAGGTACAATCCACACACACGATGCCAGTTAGACGCAATAGGAAGAGTTCGAGCAGCCTCGCACCCTCTGAGGGCAGCTCTGACGGGGAGCGCACTCTACATAGCTTAAAACTAGGAGCTTTACGAAAACTGAGAAAATGGAAAAAGAGTCAAGAATGTGTCTCCTCAGATTCAGAGTTAAGTACAATGAAGAAAACCTGGGGAATAAGAAGCAAGTCTTTGGACAGAACTGCCCGAAACCCAAAGACAAATACCCTGGAGCCAGGATTCAGTTCCTCTGGCTGCATTAGCCAAACACATGATGTCATGGAAATGATCTTTAAGGAACTTCAGGGAATAAGTCAGATTGAAACAGAGCTTTCTGAACTACGAGGGCATGTCAATGCTCTCAAGCACTCCATTGATGAGATCTCCAGCAGCGTGGAGGTTGTACAAAGTGAAATTGAACAGTTACGGACAGGTTTTGTCCAGTCTCGGAGGGAAACCAGAGACATCCATGATTATATTAAACACTTAGGACATATGGGTAGCAAGGCAAGCCTGAGATTTTTAAATGTGCCTGAAGAAAGATTTGAATATGTTGAAAGTGTGGTGTACCAAATTCTAATAGATAAAATGGGATTTTCAGATGCACCCATTGCTATTAAAATTGAATTTGCTCAGAGAATAGGACACCAAAGGGACTGCCCAAATGCGAAGCCTCGACCCATACTTGTGTACTTTGAAACCCCTCAACAAAGAGATTCCGTCCTAAAAAAATCATATAAACTCAAAGGAACAGGTATTGGAATCTCAACAGATATTCTAACTCATGACATCAGAGAAAGAAAAGAGAAAGGGATACCATCCTCCCAGACATATGAGAGCATGGATATAAAGTTGTCTACTTCAGAACCTAAAATCAAGAAGAACAATTGGCAGTCACCTGATGACAGTGATGAAGAACTGGAATCTGATCTGAATAGAAACAGTTATGCTGTATTTTCGAAGTCAGAACTTCCAACAAAGGGAAGTACTTCCAAGCCAAGCTCAAAATCACACAGCTCTAGATCCAAGACTAAAACTGCTAATAGTGTCAGAATTTCTCATAAATCAGATTATGATAAAATTTCCTCGCAATTGCCAGAATCAGATATCTTGGAAAAACAAACCACAACCCATTATGCAGATGCAACACCTCTCTGGCATTCACAGAGTGATTTTTTCACTGCTAAACTGAGTCGTTCTGAATCAGATTTTTCCAAGTTGTGTCAGTCTTACTCAGAGGATTTTTCAGAAAATCAGTTTTTCACTAGAACAAATGGAAGTTCTCTCCTGTCATCTTCAGACCGGGAACTGTGGCAGAGGAAACAGGAGGGCACAACTACCTTGTATGACAGTTCCCAGAACCAGCATTTGAATGAGAATGTTCAGGGTGTCCAAGGACAAAGTGAAATTGAAAACACAGAAACTGTGGATAGTGGAATGAGTAACGGCTTGGTATGTGCATCTGGAGATCGAAGTCATTACAGTGATTCTCAGCTTTCTCTACATGAGGATCTTTCTCCATGGAAAGAATGGAATCAAGTAGAACAAGGAGAAGATTTAGGCTTGGATTCATCTACACAGGCAGCTTTTGACTATGACACAAACAGTCTTTCTGACCAACAACTGGGCATCTACAATAAAGACTTGGAATACTTGGGAAAGTGCCTCAGTGACCTTCAAGATGACTCAGAGAGCTACGATTTAACCCAAGATGACAATTCATCTCCATGCCCTGGGTTGGATAATGAACCACAAGGCCAGTGGGTTGGCCAATATGATTCTTATCAGGAGGCTAATTCTAATGAGCTGTACCAAAATCAAAACCAGTTGTCCATGATGTATCGAAGTCAAAGTGAATTGCAAAGTGATGATTCAGAGGATGCCCCACCCAAATCATGGCATAGTCGATTAAGTATTGACCTATCTGATAAGACTTTCAGCTTTCCAAAATTTGGATCCACACTGCAGAGGGCTAAGTCAGCCTTGGAAGTAGTATGGAACAAAAGCACACAGAGTCTGAGTGGGTATGAGGATAGTGGCTCTTCCTTAATGGGGAGATTTCGGACATTATCTCAATCAACTGCAAATGAATCAAGTACCACACTTGACTCTGATGTCTACACAGAGCCCTATTACTACAAAGCAGAGGATGAGGAGGAGTATAGTGAACCAGTGGCTGACAACGAAACAGATTATGTTGAAGTAATGGAGCAAGTCCTTGCTAAGCTAGAAAATAGGACTAGTATTACCGAACCAGATGAACAAATGCAGGAATATGATCACCCTTCATATGAAACACCTTATGAAACCCCACAAGATGAGGGTTATGAAGGGCAGGCAGATGATGTAGTTAGTGAAGGGGGATTGGAACCCTTAAGTGAAACATCAGTTGAAATGGAAATAAGAGAAGATGAAAACCAAAACATTCCTGAACAGCCAGTGGAAATCATAAAGCCAAAGAGAATCCGTCCCTCTTTCAAAGAAGCAGCTCTAAGGGCCTATAAAAAGCAAATGGCAGAGTTGGAAGAGAAGATCTTGGCTGGAGGTACTCATGTTTAAATGCTACATTGTGAGCTAACTGTGTTTTAACATTAGATTGTTGTTCTTTAGAGCATGATCTATGTTTACTTGGGAGAAAACATTTACTTGCAATGCATTTTCATGTTTACTCTGAGAAGGATTTTATTTTACTCAGTTCTCTCAAAAAGTTGGGCTTGATGACTTAAAATGAAAACATATTTTAAGTTTTAATATTTTATATTAAAACTAACCCAAGATTAACCCTACACACTGTGGATCAGATTTATCTGCTAGGTTTACGCACAAACCCCATTTATTGTTAACCAACTTTGTGGTATCAGTTGTCAAAGAAAAGATAAGTGAAAAAAAGGTTGGTCCTTCAAACCAGCATCCATGGGTTGCTTCTTGGTTCCATTACATTTACAGAGATGGGGAGAAAGGCGTAGTTAATCTTAGAGAATTTGGGCAGATGGACCCTGAGATTTATTTACTCTTTTTCCTGTAAATATATCATTTGGGCCCTGCCCATAGAAAGAGTTGGGTCTGCAAAGCCAACCCTAGCTAGTCCTATAGAGGTCCAAGGACTCCTTTACAACCTATTGATGTAGCTGAGGGAGAGTTATAGAGCCAAGACCTAAGGCCATGCAAAGTAGTCACAAGCCACTCTTTGCGAAGAAGTCAAGTGATAGAGTTCAGAAGTTATTTCCTTAAGAGCGAAGTGAAAATCTTTTCCCCATTATGGAAATGAGAAGACTATCTTAACTAATAATTTTACTAATTTTCCTAGGGGAACAATTTTAAATCACATACTTTTGAGAAGTAACTGTGTGTAATGAGTTTTTAAACTTTTTATTTCTCAACCAAACTTTCTCTGCACTTACCCCGATGTCGTTCTATTTATTTTATTTGCATGTAAATCATTTTACATTTTTGGAGTAGTTTGTTGTAATCTCAGTTTTAGTGAATTGCATATTGTTAATATTTTCCATGATTGTGGAATATCATCTTTAACTGAACTATTGCTCCACATAATATTTCATAAAAGTATATATGATCAAGTGTTACTTGTTATTATCAAGTAATATTATATAATAATATCTGCAACCAGTAGCTGATTATAGCATCTTTGGTATATTTGACGTCTTGACCAAGACTGTGATCTGACACTCCATCAAAACTAGCCATTTTCTGATTGATGTGAGTAAATTATTGAATAATGAGAAAGACAATTGAAGACAATTAAAATAACAACTAGCTGCTCTAAAAAATCTGTGTTTTATAAAACAACACAGCCTATGTAATTTATTTAAAGAATAATATAAGTCAAAGGGCTGTTATGTGCATTGGCTGTGATATTTTGTTATATTTTTTCGGAGGGGGCAGTTCTCAACAATAAAACTGGTTTAAAAGTGTGAAATATTCAAATACTATGTAAATATAATTCTTACTGGAATAATATCCCATATCAGAGTGATTTTATTTGCTGTTGATTTAGAGACATCTACTCAAGTCAAAAGAAGACTAAGTAGTGTGTGTGTGTGTGTGTGTGTGTGTGTGTGTGTGTGTGTGTGTGTGTGTTGTGATGTAATAGATAAATATTTTAATGCCAACTGGTAAAGTATCTGTTTGAAATGTTAGGCAATACCATAAATAGGGCCAGATCATACATTTCAGAACAAATTGATATACATTTTTAAAAGTTTAAAGTAGCAAACCTCTGCAAAATGAATTGTTACTGGTAATGACCCTTCAAACATCTAATAAACCTAGTTAAACTTGAAAAACACAAATGCACTTGGTTATCCATATGCCACCATTTTAAGAATTTTAACAGAGATAAAACTGTCTTGTGTCATATACCTGACATATAAAACCTAGCCACAGAGGCCTCAGATCCCTCCACCATCTTGGAGTTTGGCATGTTATTATCCTGTGAGCCAACTTTGACTGGAATCTACTGGCTAGCATCTGTCCTAGAGAAAATCATATACATTTTTAAGATGGTCTCTGGTTGCTGAAAGGTACCAGATTGACTACCCAGGAGGCTGCAGTAGCCTAGATTTTAAAGACTATCTCTGCTGCCTTTGGCAGCAGTCAGACAGTTTTTCCCCTTCCTGTGCCACCCATATGCCTCAGAAGTAAGAGCCAAAAAAGGACATTTTCCAGGCCCCTTCCCTGCTCGGAACATTTCAGTGAGGTGCCAATCGTCGTGATGGTTTTTGTGCCTATGACCATCTGCTCACTGGGCTTTGGGTGGATGCCAGCAGATTCTTCTCCATGGCTACATAGTCATCGTTAGGTAGCAATGCTGTTTTTTCTCCATTAGTAACCTGTCCAGATTGGAGTGTAGAGCTCTTGCTGTCAACTCTGTGGGATGCTGTTCCCCTGACATAGCTTCATGGAAGTATAAGCTCATACATTTGAATTATTTATTTCAAGTCTTGTCTTTAGGGTCTGCAAGACAACAAAATCCCAATGTTTATAGATGTGAATATTTGGTGATAATGTATCTAAGAAGTTTCACCTTGAACAGGATTACAGTAGAAAAAGAGATCTTAGAGTTCATGTAGCTAGAAACTTCTTCATGGGGTCCAGTTTTTCCATTGTTGCTTGGTCTCGCTGAATGACACTATTTCTGTAGCTGACTCCAACCTTAAACCATGATGGTGACTATTTGATTCCCCACCCCCAGCCCTATACCACCCTTCAACTGGAATTAACTATTTATTGTCTCCTTTAAATTTCCATATACCTGCCTCTTGTAGCATTGGTGTTCCCCTTTATTTATGTGCATTTCTTATTTTCTCTTTTCAAATGTAATCTATAGGCAAGAAGTCTTTTGTTTCCCCATCCTTTCACATGCATTGTGCCTAGACTGGTGCTTTATATCCAGATTACACTGAGTTCATAGGTGTTGAACAAATGCCTAAATCAAGGGAGGCAGGATACTACATAAAAAGCATGAGTTTCAAAGTCAAATCCAAATTCAAACTGTGGTCTTTAATTGCTAAGACTATGACTTTATTACCTAAGAACTCAGAAGAATTGTTAGATATGATAAGATATAAAGCCTTATTACTCAGTATTACTATATGGTAGGCACTTTCCAGATAATCTAGCTCTTTTTACTCTTTTACTTTTTAAAACACAGATATGAATTTGATTTTATTATTATCTTGCTTTACAAGTGAGGAAACTGAGATGTGAAAACTTGCATAACTTAATGTCATACAGATAGTAAGTGGGGGATCCAGAATTAAGTGGATGTTTTGTTATTATTGTTGCTATTTAGAGTAGCAATGGGCTTACTTACTTTAAAGATTATTTAATTCATGCTTTAAGATGGAAAAACATGATTAAAGATGAAGAACAGAGTCATTCCCTAGGTTTATTTCAATTCAAGGATTTTCATGAGAATCCAGTATTAGTGTGAAAGGCAACTAAATTATCTGGCACCTTGGGGTTTTGATGTGAAATAGTTCATTTTCAGTTTTTCTACTTCAAATCTTTGGTCTGTTTTAAAAATAAAGGTTAGTAGAGCTCAGTAAATACTGTACTATAACAGTTTTTTGAAGATTGATGTACTTAGAGTCTTGAGTATACTTTATCTGAAATTACAGCCTAAAGTCAGTTTGAAGTTATTTTCCTAGGAGAGGAATAAAAATCTTGTTCTGAAAGAGATTATGGTATTGAAAATTAGCATACCATTTTTAAAAAAATGGTGGTCTACATTTTGTTTTCTGAATGGTTATTTATCTTTGTCAGAATATTTTGGCTCCCAAATAAGGATATGAAATGAAAGCATAAAATTTCCCTAAGGTTGATACTTTGTCATACTAGATCAATGGTTCCCAATCTGACTGGTTGTTGGAATCATTTGGAAAGCTTTTATAGCAGTTGTTCTTGTGGTGGTGTTTTAAAATTACCAATTATTGGGATATTCTCACTGAAAATTTGTGATTGATAGTCCTGTAATGGGGCCAGGAATATGTATTCAAAATGGTATATGAGTTACTGATGTAACATGTGCCCTTGTAATAAAACCACCACCACACACACACACACATACACACACACACACACACACACACACACACACTCACAATTAACAGCATCATAAAAAATGTAAAGTGAAAAGTAAAATAGACAGCTCCTTCCACTCTGCAGAGAAAGATATTTAGTTATAGGAACCCTGTATGCGTGAATACATATGTACCTTCTTTCTTTAACATGAATGGTGTTACACTTTCATGTATTCATGTTCCTCTGTACCTTGTTTGTTTATATATAACATGTATTTGCTTATTTTAAATTCAAGAGGTACATGTACAGGTTTGTAACATGGGTATATTGCATAATGATGAGGATTGGGTTTCTATTGAGCTCATCACCCAACTGGTGAGCATTGTACCCAATAGGTGGTTTTTCAACCTTTGCCCTCTTTCCTGCCTTTACCCCTTTAAGAAGTCCTCAGTGTCTATTGTTCCCATCTTTATGTCCATGTGTACCCAGTGTTTAGCTCCCACTTATAAGTGAGAGCACAGAGTATTTGGTTTTCTGTTTTTGCGTTAATTCATGTGTAATAATGGTCTTCAGATGCATCCAAGTTGTTGTAGAAGACATAATTTCATTACTTTTTATGGCTGTATAGTATTTCATGGTAGATGTGTTCCATATTTTCTTTATGTGGTCCACTGTTGATGGCCACCTATGTTGGTTCCATTTTTTTACTATTGTGAATAGTGCAGCAATAAACATACAAGTGCATGTGTCTTTTTGGTAAAATGATTTTTGTTCCTTTGTGTCTATACCCAAGAGTGGGATTGCAGGGTCAAATAATACATTTGTTTTTAGTTCTTTGAGAAATCTCCAAACTGCTTTCCACAGGGGCTAAACTAGTCTACATTCTGATCAACAGTGTATGAGCAGTCTTTTTTCCCCACAATCTCACCACCATCTTTTTTTTTTTTTTTTAACTATTAATCCAATAGTTGTTCTGATTGTCATGAAATGGTGTCTTATTGATTGGTTTTGTTTTT